CATCAGCCTGAAACCACATCAATACAGTCCGTTCAAAAAACGTTCATGAGGAGAGGGAGTGAAGTCGTGGGGAATCCAGTCCTTGGCCCTCAAAGATTACAGCAGTTCTGGGTTACTATGGATCCAAAAGTTGACAGCCAATCACTGGAATTTGATTTATAAGAAGGCAATTAAAACGTGTAGATACGTATTTTTGCAAGTAGTCGAAGGTAATTGAAACAGATTGAAGGCGAGATAAGAAAAATGAACTCAGGAATCTGGAATAAACCAATCACTGACGGTCATACTGAATCAATTAATTTGTACACAAAAGGGAATTAAAATTTATTATGGTGAGGGGAACTGTAGAACACAAGTCTAGGCCGTTTACACTGTGCTATCTCTTGATTTGCGCTTTCATTAATTCATATGAAGTTTCTGAGAATTGTCCCTCACGTTCCTGTGATATCTTATAATAATTCTCAGCATGACCCTGCTCATGTTTTACAGATATTGCATTTATCAACAGCGTTGTCTCGAAAAGGTTTGCGTATTCACACTGAAATTTTGTCAGACATTATTACCTACATCTCGTGTGAACTTCATTCTCATTCATCTACATATCAAAGATGTATTCGTAGGTACATAGTTTTTGGTCAGTTAGATGAACAAATTGCCAATAGGCTTATGTCGCCTGATATTAGTTTACATATTTCAATATTAAAGGTTTTTCGGTGTGCCGTTATATTATATTTGCTGCTCAGGATGAAAAATTGTCTTGTGATATAAAGATTGTGAAGCTGTTCTATGAGTTTAACCTTGTCGACGAGTTATTAATCATATGGTCATTCGCATCTTTAGTCATAATTTTCTGGAGACAGACCATCTAGAATATCGGAAATAGATTTAACATTCAACATACAATACGCATCACATGCAATTGCTTATTATTGAATTTGAATGTAAACATTAATTCGATATATAGCTATTATCAAATGGACAAGTTCAGTCACCACCACTGTTGACACTTTCAGAAATGTTTGCATTTCATCGTTTTAAACTATGTAACAGGCGTTTAATCGTCAACTGACTAGATGCAAACCACTGTCAAGCCAAAATACTAACTACTTGAGTTATCTATTATATCAGTCTCATCAGATAATTCGCCAACAAACTATACTAGTTCTACAGGTAGAATCATACAGCCCCTTAAATGTATTCATACAACAGGTTAAAATCTTCTGCAGATCTGTGTGGTCTATTTAAATGGTCACAGTCTACTCGTACTGAACCGGAATAGTGTGACCTCCTACCACACGTCAAAGTTACATTACGCGGCTAATGTCTTACGTGGTCTGTGACCGTGCACGAACTCGCGTACGCTCAGTAGTCCCGCTCGTAAACTTTGGCACGAACTCGGTATTATATCGATACCGCGAGGTCGCCAACAAATACATCTTACTACAATCTTCAACCGCCTTCTGATGTTTGGTCTACAGAGGGATCTAACATTGTAATTGGCACGTTGTCTTTCTCTTGTGGTGGTCATAGTCAACCGCGACTCCAAGCCACACTACAGAAGTGTATAAACGGAGGTGGTTCAAAAAGAACTATAAGATTATACGTAGTTTTAAAATATAGTACTGAAAACAGTATTCTGATACACGAATGGCTATCTCCCTTTTTTATCGAAGCTATTTCAACTTATTTTTATTTTTATTGACCTTATAGGATCACGAGTGGGTTTCGTTTTTAGCGAATTGTCTAGTTTTGCTTGTAATAGGATAACTTGGTAGGAAGTGAAACCAATTAAACGTCAGAAACACGATTTAAACACGTATTTTGCATAATAAATTAGCATCAACACCATTGATTCGTGACATTCAACTTGACCATAAGAAGCTGTGATCTAACAATATATTCTGCCTTACAGAATGGGTAGATCAAGATTATCTCACCACCATCATGTTTGAAGGTCAGTAACGCCATCACACTGCTATGAAGATAATTAGTAGTATAAGTTATAAGACACTGGTCAGATTATATATAGTTTAGAGAAGGTAAGGACAGATAGTGACTCAAGGAATGTGCAAGATTATTAGTTATTAGTCTTTTGACTTACAAAACTCGTCTCTCTTGGACTTGATTTTCATATACGGCGGTGATACCACTTATACAGCTTTCCTTCCATCTTTAGGATGAAGTGATCATGAGGTCATCCTATTCAAGTTCATGGCGAAGATGGCCTTTTAACCAGTTGCACCAGCCCGTCCTAACATAAGAAAAGCAGACATGAAGGCGATCAACTCTGCAGCATCTTCCAAAAACTAGATAATTGACTCAGGGGCATCAGTAGAAAAGACACAAACTCACATCAGGCAGTTATACAATCAGGTAACTCAACCGTATATACCATGAACAGTCACAAAGAAGATGAAGCACGGTCATCGCTGGATAGGTAGGGACATTCAACGTTTGCCAATACAAAAGAAGAAATGTTGGAGCGTTGCCGTTAGCCTTGGTTCAACAAGTCTGATGGAACGTTACTGGTTGGTAAAAAACAAGTGCATTATTACAATTCGGGAAGCTCAGAGATAATATGATGGTATACACAATCCTAGAGAGAACAAACCTTGAGGACTGCGTTCAGGCTGCAAGCTGCTGTTTAAAAAGCAACTCGGATATCCCGGAAAATGTGCAAGGAGCAGCCATCCTTGCAACTCTGGAACTTATGAGTTTACCATGCAAAGAGCGGCTTGAAAAGCTGAACCTCTTTACCCTATCCTGCCACAGGTTAAGTGGTAATCTGATTTCGATGCTTGAATACTAAAAAGTGATTTTGGACCTGACATATCCTCTTTTTTCTTCCTAGTAAATCGGGACATCTCAGAGAACATGGCAGGTGAGTAGAAAAGGCAAGAACGAACAAAATAACCGTGCCATACAGGTTTTCATAATGAGTCATCTATTATTGAAACCTGTTGTTGGAATCAGTGGTGTCCACACATTCGCTTAACTCACTAAAAAAAGACTAGACACTCACAGAAGCATACTAGAAGGGGAACACCAAGGGCCGTGGGCCGTCTGACCTTACTACATAAATCTAAATCTAATCTAGGTCTGTTTGACTACTCTATACTTCAAGGTCAATTAGTGTTTTCGCGCAAGTAAATGTATATAAGGTGGGATGGTTAGAACTATTAGCATAAACATGCATATGGTCATACGACATTTAGCCTTAAGTTTTACTAAGTCTGTTCATGTATCTATCATCTCAGGCCGACATTGGTAAGATTTCGCCTGATATTCATTCTTGTGTCCAGCTCTTTCTGGTCACGCATGCACTCATCTAACTACACAAAATTGTTGACTCAAGTAATAGTCTTTTCATATATTTCACTACGACTTTGGCTCACGAACGGTGAAACCACGGGTTAAACTATTTTGCTGTCGAGATAACCAGATCTAAGGTAGCTACTATCAGCTCTCACCAATTTAGTGCAGTTTCACTTTTTCATGAGATATGTAGTTTACTGCTTGAAGTTTACTCGAACTAAAAGTCTTGGTCTCCACATATCCTTAAAACTATTAGTTCTTTGATCGGTATCTTGAAATTTATTCAGGTCAGTAGGTTGATATCTATTATTAGTTTCATCTAAATATTTACTATCAGCCATAGAAGTCTCCAAAAGTATACGTTCAGATCGTAATTGAACTTCTTCTCTTGATTGAGTCTATGGTTGGCATCTCATGAAGTACATAATGGTGATTATCGACTAATCCTTATTGATTGACTCACGTATGTGGAGCTGCTGTAGCTAGTAGATTTGGGCAAGTCCATATTGGAGAACAAATTCCTTGGTTATGTTGTTTATGCAATTTTTCATTTGGTTCTCTGGATTGAAACTTATAAGCTATATTTGTCTTGCGATCTGTTCATTTTCGGGAGGTATGACTGGATACCAAAAGCAATAGGCAATTTTCTATCTTTTTATCTAATGAAAACATTTCATTTATTATATATTTGAACACAAATGTTGGTACAAGGGGGCACGAAATACAAATGCGCCACACAATAACAATGAGACCAGTAGCAGTTATCACTGATTTGTGTGAGGGCTGTGATACCTCTTGGGTGCCCAGAACGAAGCAGGTGGCTTTCTTAGAGGGCCACACCCTGGGCCTTTGACCTAAAAGTCTAATCCACAAGGCAGTGGAGCAACGTCAGGAGATGCAATCCCATGTTAGCAGTAACCAAAATTAGGTTCATACCCCATTTGTTTCCTTAGGATCCTGGAGCTCGTGTGCACCATCGGTTTGGAATCAGGGTTTTTCCAACTCCCCTAGATGGATCCTCCATATCCGCCAACCTGGCTAAAGCACCGGGCATTTTCTTTTCCTCCTCTCAGTTTCGTAAACAACACCCCTGACGCGAGAATTCGGTGAGTAGGACTTCCCTGATAGTGGCTGTATGGCCTTGTGAGAGCATTTTGAGGAGCTGACTGTCCCCACCCTCGGTCGTACCACGGTATTCGGGGGCAATGAAAACAATAATATCAGATGATTTATCGGTACAGCCATTCTGCATACTTTGATGTTCCCTCATAAAATATTCAAGCGTAACGATCACTAGTTCCTGTTAGTCGTTATTCCTTTGAATCCTACATATTCTCAGTCAGTCAGTAACAACGTAGAACTTCGTACGTACGTACATCAGTTCGAGTTGCCACACCACCTTAGCACAGAGATGCAGTTGTCGATTCAAATCCCGTAGTGGATTCTGGACTTGATGGATGGGTTTGGATTTAGTGTATACCTACAAATGACTGCGTTTTAGTAAGTATGGTTTTCTTCGTTCATAGTGTTATCAAATTGAATATTAAGTTAAACTATTTCAGCTACATTTAAATAATTTTCAGTTTAGAATCAATGAAAACTTGATCACGTTTTCTATTTGGCCCTGGAACTCGTGACACTTTGCTGTACATTCCGTATCTCTTGTGACTGCTGAGCTATAAACCATGTACAAGGTCGTAAAACCTTTCCAAGCAGCAGGATTTTACTGTCCAAGTAATTTTATTACACATTCACAGTTCTTTTAGACTTGACAACAAAGTATAGCCAGTCATCCTATTGCCTTCAAGAACTGTTTGCGAATCCTCAAATCCACAACCTTTTACGTTTGGTTACTTGCATAGATTCAAACACAGTTCACCAACGACGCTATAGAAGAGCTGGGAAGGAAAGTATTAAACTTCTTAATGATGCCGAACTAAATATAGTAATACGATTCGGATTATTTATCTAACTTTTACACAAGGTTAAAAAATATACTGCCGCTTTTACGGAACAAAAGTTGCAGATGCCACCTGTTTTAAACCCAAGAACCTCTGTAAATAGCCAAATCATTTCTCGAGATAGCGGTCTTCAAGGGATTATTCCGGGAAATATCAAACTAGTTTTTACAGATACCACACTAAAGCGTGACAGAAAGAACCGTCTCATAGTAGTTAGAGAGTCAAATGGTAACTTAAGACACGCAGACCTTTCTGAACGTGATCGTATTAACCAAGTTTACTTTCCTTTGTCTGGTCGGAAGTTGTTTATTCCCATGATGTTTGAAGACGAGCAGTTAGATGTAAGTTATCGTTTATGTTACTTCTTAGCACTTTAAACGTCAATAATCACATAAAGTTTCGCTTCAGAAGTGATAGTGATGCGAAAATGGAAAGCACGGTTATTATCATCACAATTTTATGACCAACTACAGGTTACTTTAATCGACTTTGAGGTACACTTTATTTTGAAACGAGATACTGATAACTAAGGCGGGGTTCAGAATTTTGATATAGCCTATATCGCCTCATAGATTTTGCAAAATTTCATAGAGTATCTTGCTGGTTGTGAATTCCCCATCCTGAAACTCAAAATTTTTGCAAGGCCTTGTTTCTCACTCATCTGGCGTCACTGTTAGTCACTACATGCGATTTTCTTGAAGGAGGATTAGAATAGAATGGAGCTCAGAGTAAACAGACCAGAGTATGGTACTCATCTGTGAATCTACTAACTACTGGTTTATTTATGGGATAAATGGATCAAACTCACCCTTGTTTACTTCATTTTGGGCAGCCAACCAGGTTATTTCACCAATTCTTCACGAAAATGGCTTGGCCTTTGTCGGCCCTTGAAAATCCGAGCAAGGCAGTATAATTTTCGTGGCAGGCCGTACCCATATCCGCAGCAGGTCTCCAAGGTGAACAACCTCTGGCAATTGAACAATGCAGGTAAGGGAAGTCGGCAAATCGGATCCGTAACTTCGGGAGAAGGATTGGCTCTGGGGGCCGAGTCAGACAGACCGAGATCAGATACGTGTCGTTCCAGTTGGGGGCTGGTTTCTTTGCTGCTTTGTGTGCTTCGGTGTGCGTTATGGTGAGGTTACTGGACTGTGACCCGGGTCGATCGTGGGCGGTTTCAGCTGTTAGTGTCGTGCAGCTAGCAACGCGTGAGGACTTGTTCCACGTTGCGTCAAGCGGCTGTACTTCCATGGTCTGGCGCGCGACGGCAAACTCAGAACTGGCATGGACCAGGGGAATCCGACTGTCTAATTAAAACAAAGCATTGCGATGTCCACTGATTGGTTGTGACGTAATGTGATTTCTGTCCAGTGCTCTGAATGTCAAAGTGAAGAAATTCAACCGAGCGCGGGTAAACGGCGGGAGTAACTATGACTCTCTTAAGGTAGTCTATGTTCGATTACTCCAAGGCTTTTGTTGTATGTAGTAGCCCGACGGATGTTTTAGTCTGAGGTTATATTCTGTCTGCTCTAGGTGTGAGATTCATTTTCGTCCAACCAAACCCATTCCACAATTATTAATAAGTTAGGAAACTAGTGCTAATACAATGCAATTCGGTTACGTCAACTGTCATAGCAGTGGAGTTCAAGTCCAAGTCAGTCTATGTGTTTAGATGCAAAAAAGAGGAAAAAAGAACTACAATATGAAGTATTTAGACCACTAAGATCCTTTTTTAAAGATATCCACCAAATCATTCACACTTTCAGGGTTGTACTGATGGAAACAGATGAGATAGTTGTACGCACAAGTTTATTTTGTAAAACTAAACATAACTTTTCTGGTTTTTCTGATTTTATCATTTTATTCTATATTTAATTTCTCCTTATCAGGCACTTTTGAACCAAGGCTCATTTTTGTATATTTTGGACAGAACATGTGTTCAATTCGAACCAGATGACCCACATTTTAGTCGAATATGCCATCGTGTTTATGAACGTGTGAACCATTTAGCTTGGACTCCATTTGAAAAAACCGCTGAATCGATAACCAACGGTCTAACCAACCCATTGCTTCTACTACGACACACACGCTATTACGGTCCCTTAGCTTTATATATGATTGCTCAATTAGGTTCTCCTGGGCCACTTGTTTATGAGACTCTTGCACATCAACATTACAATCGCTTAGGTTGGGTACTTCGTTTAGTTTGTCTTCTTAGACCCTCTAGTCCTTTTGCCGTCCATACAAAGTCAAATGTCGATTTAATACCTCCGCCGATACAGACTGTTTTAGACTACACAAAGGATTTGTCCCAACAAAATATGAGTCCATCCGAGATTAGCAAGTTGCTGGATTATGTTGAAGTAAGTACATTTTTAAAATTTTATTCAGTAATTTTTGAATCATAACTAACTTATCCGGGTATTAATGGTGGTACGAATCCACAGTATTGTGATCAAACGTTTAAGTTTTCACTGTTCGACTGAAGTTTTTTTATCTCTTACATTGTTTTCTAGTGGGAACTTGTTAGTCTGTAATCTTAATCTTAATCTGTAGAATAACCTTTTTGTTCCACTTCATAAAAACATTCTATTTTCCTGATGCAGTCTATAATTCTGTTGAAATGTACTATAACTTAATTGATTAGCATATAATTAGTGGCTTTAAAAATAAATGGACATATCTGAAGTCATTCTCATATGACATCCTAGAGGACTCACAGCAACTTTACTATTTTTCAGATTGTTTTTTTATGTTCTTTTGCAGTGATTCCCGATAATGTTATTTCAAAAAATATTACAGTTGTGGGTTAGAAATAATCCTATGGCTGAAGGTAATGATTAGCCCAATCATTTAAACTTAAGGCTAATTACAATTATTAAGTATACCCCATTTGTTAATTGGGACTTCAAGAGATTTAGGCTAGAGAAATCAAGTGGTTCTGTATTTTGAACCAAGGGAACTTTCTGTTCATATCAAAGATAAATACCTCATCCTATGCAATAGATGCGGAAATAAGAGGTGACCGGTAAAGGTACTAACCCAATGACTACTTCATAGTTTATATCAGAAACTGATATTAGTTAGACAACCACGAAGCACTATACAATTACTTCTTCCAAATATGGGGCTCCTCAGCAGCGAGCATCCGTTTCCCCATCAAGAAACGACACTTGTACCATCGGGTCCGTGACAACGACATTATGTTTTTTATTGCAGGTCTTACTTTAATCTGAATTAACAACTTCAAATTCAATTAACCTGTGTTTGCTAGGCATTATTATTTCACGTTTGTTTTGAAATGTTTTGTCACTTTTCCGTCTTTTCTATAGCTTTTCATCAATCTGGAACCTTTAAGCAAAGACAAACAAGTCATACTCAATGATTATCTTCAACGAGCTCGAGAAGGTATCAAAATGAACATAGAAACAATGGATAGTACTTAGTTATTTTATGTACATATGATGTTAGTTTTGTTGTTAGAGAAAAAGAAATTGTATGAAAATAAATAAACAATCCAACTTAAATATTCGTCATTTTTTACTTGAATGTATATTGAATGCTTGTTTTAAAACTAACCATAAGACTATTCCTTAATAATAATATAAACACAGCAACAGTAGATCCTCTTGTAATCCGGGGGTTATGGATACATACTTAACCTTTATGAATGAATTATTTAAGTGTTGTCATGTTCCTAGTGAGAGCTACTCCTATCTCAGTAAGTAGATGCAATTATTATTAATACACGGAGTACAGAATCTTCCATTCGAACTTAGCTACGTATTTAGTTTGACAGTTGCTTTAAGTGATTTCCAAAATGGCTAAATAACGTATATCTTTTGAATTTAGTCTTTTTAAAAGCTCAGAATTAACTGAAAATCTAAGGTACATATAATTTTCTTTCCTGAATGGTACACTAATTTATGTGGAGATAAGCGAAAATCGTTTTCTTTCTCGGGAATGTCCTTTAACATCAGATGAAATTTAAGGAAAAGTTTGTCCCATATCTTTGCTATTATGGGTAATCGATAAAAATGCGATGCTATGCAGTTCTAGGTAAAATAAAAGACATTAGAAATTACTTAGTAAATAAGGTTCTAGCTTTCAGTACTTGACTTGGTTATTACAAGTAGATTTATCCACTGGAACTGTGACATCGGTGTTGGTCCGTACTGAAGTCAGGTTTTGATCAAAATGATAATCAAAGCAGCATCAGTCTCCTGAATCTTTATTGACAGTGCTTTTTGTTGATATTCTGAACTACAAAATTTTTAAAAAGTGTTAGTGATAATATAAGTGGTGTTTTCTATCATTCTGGAAGCGACCGAGGATAATTTGTTCATTCACTCAATCATACTTTATGTATAATCATTGTATTGCTTGGCGATTTCATTCCAAAGGTCAGGAGTACGGACAACAGAAGTGTCATTTGGTTGAGCCATAGAAATTTATTGGTTACAAGTCGAATAATAGAATAGTCTTTTGAAGCTTATAGCTTATTTTTGTCAACTTCATCTCTCAGTATAGCCGTCAATGTATCACTTGACATGCTCCGACTAGTTTAGATATGGAATAAGATAGATTGCGTTGTAACCAATTAGCGATAATGATTGTGTGTACAGTATTACCACTCGTTTTACGATACCCCATTATCCACCAAACTCATTTTAAGCTTTGATGCCTCAAATATTCGTCATTCAGATCGGTTGTACCTAGTACTTAAGTTTTAAGTATTATTCATACCGTAGTTTTCAGTGTCCTCAATAAACGGATACACTTTTCAGAGTAATGAACTCCATCTTGGCTACGTGCCTAATTAGAAGGTATCCGTTGGCGTTGTTGTGCTTAATATTTATTTCTTATCCAGTTGAATACTTATTTTCATTCTTATTTTGCTATGGTCCTACAGCTCATGAATGAAGTTGGGTTTTATGTGAGTACTGCCTATGGGTTGTTTTTAAATTATTGCTGTGGGCGCCCATGGTACTCTCGTGTTTCTCCTTCTTTGATTGTGGGTGCTTTACCACTCAAAAAGTCCTGGGATAAATGGCAGGCAGATGAAAATATCACACATATAGTGAGCATGTTGGAACCATTCGAAGTAAAATCATTTGTCATAGGAGAAAAGGATGCTGTGAATCAAGGCATTAAATATCTCTCTCTACCAGTTCGTGACTTTGTGGGAGTTCCTACATTTGAGCAGGTAAGTATTTTTTATGCAGAAGTGATTTTCATTCTTCGTTAACTCTTTTATTAACAATATGTCAACCTTAATCCATGCACCTCTGTCACATACATTTTTAGCCAGTTAGTCTCAAATATGGATAATTTATTCATCGTCAAATAAAGGATACAGCTAATTACTATATTTAATTCTGTTGGTTGTTTTATTTTTTGTCGATTAAAAGATGGAGTCACATGATACAAAGTAGTTTTTATATAAGATCGTAATATTTTACTATTGAATGAAGAGTTGGTAGTCGACATCACAAAATTGTTTGCTTCTCTTTATTTCATTTCTCTTATCCTTTAAGCCATAATGATGAACCTACTGTACTTGCTAAATTCACCTGTCAAGCGCCTTTAAGGTAGAAAGGTTTGATATGTTTCAGGCTATACTATTCATTTCATTATATTTTTTCATAATGATTACCTGTCACTTTGCAGGTGTAAAATGTAGCAATTTAGAATGAGACAAATTTGTACTAGGTTTCACGTTGTTTAGGTCCATCTATCTGCTTCTTTAACTAGATATTATAGCCTTTCTTTTCTACTCATCCGTTTGATTTATTCACCGACTGTATTAGTCTTACAAACTTTTATGTAGTTCAAAAAAAGTACTGATAATTATGACATATTGTATTATATTTTGTTATTCTTTTGTTTTCTATGAATTTTTGAAAAGATTGATGCTGGAATTACATTTATCAACTCTTGTGTACAATCAAACGGATGCGTGTATATTCATTGTAAAGCCGGTCGTACACGTTCAGCATTCTTATTAACTTGTTATTTCATGTATACAGAATCTTTAAGTGTTGATGAAGCGATTGGTCGTGTCAAATCCTTTAGAAAACACATAGTTTTCAGGTCAATGCATAAAATAGGTTTAGAAAATTACTTCAAATTTTTAAATGGTAGTAAAAAAAGTGAAAATGTAACAAGTTGATAATGGCTCGTTATTCAACTGTATTAACTCATCAAACTTTAATACTTTTGGAAATCATTTCCATTGGCCTGGCATGCGTAAGTCTATATTTATTTTGTGTTTACATTGTTGATCTTTAAATTATCAGAATCTCATAGTTTTGGTTACTACTATTAAGATACATGGTATATACTTTTCAGTCGACTGGAATTTTGCATTTGCTTACTAAATCCATGATGTGTTAATCCCTGAGGGGCCAATAAGCATAGCTTTTGGCGATAGATTTCATTCGTTTTATACCAGGATAACCAGTGTGGAACTGCTTTAGCACCCTTGATCTTAGGGACTCTGGTGCCACTACTCTATCTCCAAACATCAAGCACTCATTCACGACGCATAATGAGTCCCGACGGTGATAAAGCTGCTTCAAGTCACCATCGAGTCCAGTTGACGGCCAGCCATTAGTGACGTATTTCATCGCTCTCTTAATGATGCAATCGTTCCTGGAGGTAGATTGTATTTCAACTGCTGAGACTGGCAAAGCACGAACAGCAGATGTCAGGTAACATTGCGCGTGGTTCTCTGTCATTAGGAAGGCAATAACTGCATCTTCGTCGGTCGTATGGTGTTTGCTGATAAGTCGTGACAGGGTGTCTGCCTGACCAAATTGTTGGGTGCACCGGTACTGAATGTCAAAATCATAACCCAACAGTACCAAAGCCCATCGCTGGAGACGGTTTGCAAAGTGTCCTGGAACACCAGATTTCGATCCGAAAATTGTGAGAAGAGGATTGTGATCAGTGATAAGAGTAAATCTTCGACCGTACAAGAATTTGTGGAAACGGCGTACTGCGAACACAAGGGCGAGAGCCTCTTTCTCTATTTGACTGTACTTTCCGCTGGAGTTGATGTGTGAGATAACAGCATCGAGTCCAAAAGCTGAAGCATCTGCAGCCACAATGACTAGCACGGATGGGTCGTAGTGCGTCAATTATAGTTCAGAGCTAATGATGGCTTTGAGCTTTCAAAATGCAGCTTCACACTCTTTTGTCCAGTTCCAAATAGTATTCTTATTCAGAAGATAATTTAGTGGGGCGCGTATGTCATGCATCGACGGAACAAAAGCTGAGTAGTAGCTAATTAGTCCCAAGAATGATCGTAGCTCAGAGATATTAGTAGGAGTCGGCATCAGTTTTATGGCTCGGATGTTTCAAGGATCTGGTCTGCGACCTGCCACATCAAAGATGAATCCCAAGTATTTAACTGACTTCAAGAAAAGCTGGCATTTTTCTGAGCGTAATCGGAATCCGTTATCGCTGACGCGTTGTAGTACAGCTGTCGTGCGTTCTCGAAGCTGATCTAACGATGTGGCAACAACTAAGATGTCATCGAGATAAGTTGTGACCCCCGGGATACTCGATAGAATGGTATTCATTAGTTGCTGAAAAATAGATGGAGCTGTCTTAACACCAAATAGTAGGCGACTGTACTGAAACAAGCCACGATGAGTATTGATGGTAAGTAGCTCTGTGGATTCCTCATCCACTTCCACTTGTAAATAGGCGTCATCTAGATCCAGCTTTGCAAAGAACTTCCCGCCATTTAGCATTGTGAACAAATCTTCAGGGACTGGCAGTGGGTAATGATGCTGTTCGAGAGCTGCGTTAAGACCTGTAGAAAAATGTGCGCATATTCGGGTTGTGCCATTAGCCTTCTTAATAGGTGCTGCCCAGGCAGAATAAGAAACAGGTGTAATAACTCCCTGTAGTTGAAGGCGGTTAAGTTCTTCGTCAACTTTCGATAATGCTGCGTACGGCACTGGTCTCTTTGGACGGAAGACAGGTTTCAACCGAAGTGTTGCTTTCATAGCAGTGCACTGACCCAATACAGGCTGGAAAATGGTTGAAAACTCCGTCATTAGTTCTTTCGAATATGCTTCAGGTTCATGAGGTTGTTCCACCATATGGCATACGGTGCTTAACGGAACACCAGCTAAATGTAGCCGGTTAAACCAGGACTTCCCTGGTAGAGGCTGTATACGCGTGGCCGTGTGAGAGCATTTTGAGAGGGAGGGCGGGACCATTCCACTCTCGGCCATACCAGGGCATTTGGGGAATTGATTAATTAAGAAGTCAGCTATCATGAAGTTAGTCTTTTCGATAAGTTAGTAGTATCTATGTTCGCAGTTCTTGAGACAGTTGTTTTCAAGTTCATCATGTTTGTAAATTAGTTTCTGACTTGACGGAACATCTGATTTAATTATTTTTCAAAAAAGTTTTCATCCTTATCAGAAGTATTTATACATATTAACCATTTATTCATGTATTTATTTTATCAACTACAGTTTGTTAAAATTACAAATTTTTATTTTATTTCTCCAGAAGTATAAATATGCATCGGACAATCTTTTGAATGTGTATAATCTTAAACTATTGCCAATTCTAATCAGGGAAAATCCTTTATTATTCGTGCAATGTTTTCAACAAAAAAGTCCGTCTATTTTTACGAATCATTTATTCATCTTTACTTTGTGCGTTTTTATTACTTGTACAAATCTAAATTCAGTATGAAAAGAGACCTATTTTCTTTTATTGAGTTGTTGTGTGAAATAGTTTTTCTTTTGATTATCATACAACTGTTTAATATACTTTTTTTAAATGAGAAAGTTAACACTAAATTAGATTGAGCAAATGTATTGTTCACTGTTCAGAATAAATTTATTTAGATAAAAATATGTTTTCCTTTCTCATATCACATTGTAATGATTGGTTGGAGCATTTTATGTTCTTGATTTATGCTCTGACGATTACTGTTAAATCTTTAGTTCAAGGATAATCTAGATAGTGAACTATTCTATAGTAGTTGCTTTACTTTTATACCTTTTGATCAAATGTGTTTGGTCTCACATTTTACTTAGAGTAGTTCTATATCTATTACTAGTAAAGTAACAATTAAAAGGGAACCACATACATCAGTCTCACGTCATTGACTTACCCACAACTAAAAGTGTTATAAAATACTTCGGTTATTTGCATTATGCGTTTGTTCAGGCAACTTGTTACAACTTAGGTAATGTGAGCATTGATAAATCAGTTAAGATTCATTGCCAATAAACTCGATGACATATGAGTGAAGCAATTGGGCGCTATTTAATCTAGCTGGGCAACATCACTGGGTGGCATTGGAGGCTTTCAATCACTCATATCACTCAGTAACTTATATGATGAGGTTTTCCTGTCTTCATTATCATCTTAATTCGAATAAAACATTTATTAGGATATCCAGTAAACTCTATCAAGTTTTACAGCTAAAGCAGTTTAGTGTGGATAAATAGTGTCCCCTTTTTAGGTTTTATGTGAACATCAGGGGTATAAAAAGCATAAAAACTCTTCATTTTTCACCAAGGCAGTTGATTGTGCTACTGTGTTTTTTCTGGAACTAGGACTTGTATTGTTCTGTCTGATTACTACATAGTTTCTCATTGCTGATTGCATGGATTAAGGCAAAGCGAAGCGCAAAATATTTAGTTGGTCGAAGTTAAAAATTATCTCAGGTGTAAAAATAGGTTTGATTGTTCAATTCTTTCAATTGAAGTTAGTTTCCGCATACGATTACAGATTCCTTAGTTTGGAAACTGTAATGAGGATTGAACGTTTTAGTCAAAACCAACCTATTTTGTAATATTGGCTGATTTTAGTTTTTAAAATCAATGCTAGGACGAGAAAAAGGACTTAGATGGTTTTACTGTCATGTTGAGTTCAACAACACTCTTTCTAAACTAAATAGTTCGTAGATTTTGAAAACCAAAGCAGATTTATTTTTAGCTGTTTGTTTATGATCTTAAAGCTTTTTCTTGACTCCAGTGTTGCGGTCAGCATCGATAGGATACTTTGATATTAAGTTTCTTGGGATTCCTTCCTAAGAAAATGCTAACTGATACTCTACAAAATTTAATATTCTGCTAATTTTTAGTCCTAAAGTCGGTATGTCTCGTTGAGTTGTAAAAACCTCCATTGTGGACTTCATCTATTTTGCTATTATTGTGTAGTCATCATGGTTTTAATCATTCGTATTCATTACTTTTTATTTATATCCTAAGAAAATAGTTTCTCATTCTCAAGTTGAGTTGTATCTTTTCGGATATACGGTTTTACTTTCTTTAAAGTTTTTTTTTGAAAGTTATAGGTACATTTGAATAGGAAGGTTTTGATTTCGAACGATTTCAGCCCACTAATCCAAAATATTCACCTAAGAACTAATCAAGGCCTTTTGAAAGGTTTATTAAATAGTTTTGGTAAATGCATTTATACACCTTATCTTTGATTCTACGGTAACTAGGAGGTTCACTATTACCTTTCTTATTTTGTGTTTTATAGTATGAATAGGTCTGCCGGAAACGTTCGTGAACCGCATGATGATATATTAGTCATCGATAGTGATGCTGACATCAAGGATTATATTCATTCATCTTGTGGTAGTGACGAAGAGGAGGGGTTCGATCCAAATATAGCTTCTACTGAATTGAAACAAAATAAACCTGACTATCCAGTTGAAACATGTGATGGTTCTCCAGGACGAATTCGTCAGAGGGTGGTGAAGGAAAAAGAAGTGAATGATAGGTTTAGTTTGAACACGTGTCCTGCTGAAATAAAGCAAAGAAAATATAATGATTCTACCAAAGTGTGTAATAATTCTGAGGAACAGTTTTGTCACAGAACAGTGAAAAAGGAAGATACAGGTACTTCCGAACTGGATTCAAATGGAGATCTTCAATTCAAATCTTTAATTCTTGGATATCACACATCATTTACAAACATATATGCAAATTATAATTGTTACCATTTATGTTTAATACTAGCCTTAATTCTAAGACTTGTGCTAGTTATTTTCTCTGTATGGCAGGATACAGTTCGTTGGCCGGACGGCCAACTACGATTCACGGATGTGGATTACGATGTGTTTTCTGATGCTGCTCAAGCTTTTGTCGCTGGGGAAAATATTTATATTGAGCGTCCCACTTATAGATATTCACCACTTATTGCTGTTGTTCTCGCTCCTGGTTACTGGTTATTTTCTGACGGTAAATATTCAGACACTGATAGAAAAGAAGTGAATATTAGTTCAGATTTTGTTGACTTATCAGTAGAACCACAGTTCCGATCGTCAAAACACATAACTCCTCCTTCTCTCGCTCGTCTTTGGGGTAAATTATTATTCATCACGGCTGATTTAATCTGTGGTTGCATACAATATAGAATTATTCAAGATAAACAGTTTGTAAGTTATGCTTTATTTTATTCTGGTATCATATCCGTTTAACATTTATTTTTGGTCCTATGCTGAGTCATATTTATTGGCTGTCCGCAAAAAGCATCTGAAAGTGCATGATTTTCTAAAATAATCGTAACGAGAGAATGCAACCAAACCGAGAAATGGCGTTAGTCCACGAAGTCATTGACTTGCTCTGAGCCATGTCAACAGGTGCAGGCTGTTTGGTTGCAGTCCATGCGATAATCGCGGTCGGTGATTGGAGACTGAGTGGAATGGCTCAGAAACATTCGTAATTGAGCCGACACATGCACATTTTGTCTTCTTGTAGATCTTGACTTTCAATATTCTCTCATACATTCCACTCTGGTTTTTTCAAATCATGTTCTTATTATCAGTGCTACATCATTTTGATCTCTTTTGCTGTTCATCTTATTATATTTATTTGATCATACTAATACAATTCATATCTATCCGAGGTTGTATGTTGATAACGTCTATCTCTTTATCAAAAGTGCAACGATATGTCATAAGTTTGTGTTTGTATCACCGCAGAATTAGCTCGACTCAATAATATTAATTGTTATGTAGAAGTTACCTATTGTACTGATGCAAGTTGTGCACTGAGTTTGAAATCGGTGAATAGTTGTTTATAACTAGTGGTGGTTTAATTTATCGTATTACAGAATTTTGTGTTTTAGATTTTTCAGTTGTAAGTTAATGAATACTTAGTGTTAACGATTTCACAATAGTAATCGTCCTTTTGTAATGTTTCTTTTAGAAAGTTAATTTTATGGATTTTAAGTCAGTTATTTGTAATGCGAAGATCGAGCATCTTTCGGTCAAATCGATAACTTAGCAATTTTCAACAAATTAAACATTGCGCGGGTCGTTTATACTGCTAGTACTTTCTTCTTCCTCTTCTTCTTCTTCTTCTTCTTCTTATTATTATTATTATTATTATTATTATTATTATTATTATTGTTATTATTATTATTATTGTTATTTCTGCTAATAATAATAATAATAATAATAATAATAATAATAATGGTAGTAATAATAAACATATTTGTTATGTTCCACTTAGTAGAAATTTGAATTTCTGGCGTTTCGTGACCTAGTGTAAGCCTCTTCTTCTACCATTTCTTACTTTCTATCTTTTTCAATCCCTGTAGGTATTACCAACATCAACTTTGTGTTTTCCTGACCCCAAAATTGAATTATCTTTCAGTGTAGATGACAAGAAAAAGGGTTGAATATTGATGAAATATAATGATATTGTTTCATTCAATAAACGTTGGTCACTTTATCCCATGACATCTATTTTGGGTTAGCAAGTTTTGCCTAAAGCTATAGCTTTCTATTGATTCGTTCCAGTCAGTAAAATATGGTAAACAATATCATCATTTGACAGATAATTCCCATTTAAACATTAAAATTAAAACACGAATTTCAGCGAAGGGATCTCTTTTCAACGAATTTATTATCAAATCTACCCAGATTTCTTCGTATACAACTTTTAAAAATAGCCGAAGCTCTTGCCATCCAGGAGCTTAAACCAGAACTATGCGTACAAAAGAAGTACGTCTTATCGTTATCGTTACCTTGGCCTTAATTAGTTTGATTATCCTACCATTAATGTTATTATTATTATTATTATTATTATTATTATTATTATTATTATTATTATTATTATTATTATTATTATTATTATTACTGTATTTCCCCTTTACTTATGTCTTATATTCTCATTGTTTTATTCATGAACTCTCATCATATCAGTTTATTTTTGTACACCTCTATGACCTTTAATTATTATATCAAAAACATTTTAATCATTTTAATCATCTTATTATATTCACCAAATCCATTGTTATTGTTATTATTCATATTACGTAATCTAGTATTATAACCTTTATATTAACTATATTCACATTTCCTCACGGAATTAGTACTTTTACAAAAACAAAATTTTCATATATATACGATTGTACAGCTTGATAATAAATTCGTTGAAAAGAGATCCCTTCGCTGAAATTCGCGTTTTAATTTTAATATCATCATTGATAACATACATCAATTACAAGAGGAATGTTATTAACTTTTCCAGAAACTTTAGTGAATATAACTTAGCTATCATTATATGATTAAAGCATTAAACTGTATGATATTTTAATCGAGAGATTGTTTCATAATTCAACTATTGGTTTTTTGTAACATAGACTGCTAAATAAGAAGGTAAAAATTATGGCGTTAAGCGACATAATTCTAACGTGAGTGATTTTGATGTATGTCTGTAAGGTGAAACAAAGATTATAATTTTTTTTTGTGTTGTTCACTTTAAGTAAACTAGGATTTGTTCGTTTAGTATAAATGTAATGTTATAAAGCTAAATTGTTGACTGAATATACGTTCTTTGAATCTGTGCATGTAGGACGCGAACCAATAGGCAACTTGATAACATGGTGTTATGCTAACAGGTATCGATTCACTTGCAGTAATATTCTCCTAATGAATTTTTCTGTTCCCCATTTTTTAGCTGAACAGTTTACCAAATCCAAATACTGTCAATCGAAATAAAAAAATTCGACGAAGTTCCATTTCGTTCAATACAGATCAATTAGCATTATATCTTGTTAGTTTCAGTTGGTTATTCAATCCTGTTACATCAGTAGTCTCTGCTCGTGGTAATGCAGATGGATTACAAAGTTGTGTTGTTTTAGCATGCCTATGTTGTATTCTAAACCGTCGGATCATTCCAGCTGGATTTTTATATGGGTTATCTATTCATTTACGTATATTTCCAATCATTTATGCACCATCTATCTATTTATGGCTGATAATGACTGATAATAGTCATAACAAGGATAATCAAAAGAAAAATGAAGCATCGACACAACAATCTCAAAGTGTGTTTTCAATTTTGTTCAAATTACCAAACCGAAATCATTATCTTTTTGGTATCAGCTGTTTACTTAGTTTGACGATATTGACGGGATTATGTTATTTATATTTCGGTGGAATGCTGTTTCTGCAACAAGCCTATTTCTATCACTTTACTCGGTCAGATTTTAAACATAATTTTGCTCCGCACTTTTTAAGTGTTTATTTACTCTCCGGAAAGAAATGGATAGCTGAAAAACAAACATTGCCTATATATGATTTACGTCAATGGTTGAATAATGCGTGGAATGATTTATCTACTTTAATAGCTTACTGGGGTGATATTAATAGTGGTGGATATTCTTACTCAATATGGAATTTATTGTTAAAAAATCTTAGTACACCTGTGGTTTTGGAGCGTTTATTTAATGTAACTTCAATTATACCGTGTATAATTCTAATTCCATGTTTGTCTTTTAAACTGTATTCCAACATAAGTCTGTGCTGGTTCGCGCTTACCTACATGTTTGTCACATTTAATAGGGTGAGTTAAATATTGTGCATTTCGATGACGAACTATTCTCTCGGTTTTTTCTTGTGTCCATATTGAATGTTTGTGTTGTATCCGGCTGGGGCATGTCAAATGAAACGAAACGTGGGTTCGGGATCTCCCTAGCCACTACCTATGCTGTATTTTCTAGACCTTCCATATGACAAATGAGTTTTTGTAGATGGCATTCACCACAAACTAATTTCCTCCATCCGGGACTCTCCTTTCTGTCATTATTTCAAAATATATTAAGTTTAAAACAAAAATTAGCATTTTAAATTACCAGTCTATACTGCTGCATCCAGGAAACGAATTACTCAAACATGTAAAGCCTTTTGGAATTTAAAGGGGTAATATACTTATTTTGGAGTTAGGAGGTAGTAATACTACTCGATCTTAGAAACAGTCGTGAATCGGACCTATAATGTAACGGTTGAAAGTCGAATAACTTAACCACCACGCCAAAGTTTCGTTAGTAAGAAATTTCAGACTGTTCCGAATATATTGTAACTTGAGTATAAATTTTAAAAATATCGTACGAAAACTTATTAATAAAGCTGTTGCAACGATTTTCCAGCTGTTACTTGAGGCTTTTTCTCGTTTCATGCAGATCAGATCATCAGTTTTTAGTTCCAGTGTGGTTAATTTGTTTCATTTCGATCAGTTTGAGGTATCTTATCCCACTCATCATCAATGTCGGTGGTTCTCTCGAGTGTAAGAAATGTGTTTCAGACACTGTATGAAGCAAATTTTACCATATCATAATCGAAAAATAACCACAAATTATAAAGTCACATTTAGCTGAGCTTGTTTGAATCTATTTTACTAATAGTGTGTACATATATATTTATCTTCTATTTAGGTATGCACGGCTCAGTATTTTCTATGGAGCATATGCCTTCTTCCAGTTGCTTTGGCTGATATACGTCTACCTTCAAGTATTACACCATATCGTGCTATAGTACAAAATTTAATGTTATGGTTTGGATCTCAAGGTATATGGCTTGCTTCTGCTTATGCACTAGAAATGTGTACATTACAAAAACCATTTCTAAATCATATCATTTGGATAATTGTTTGGATAGCATCTTTAAACTTTTTTGCCTGTAATATTTTCATTTTGTCTCGTTTAATCAGTTGGCGTAATAGATCTTTATCAAACAATCATCAAGAAATTTCATCATCAGAAGTTATTAATTATAAAACTACCGTTTCTCCTATTATTGATTCTACTATTACTGTAACAACCAATACTACTACTACAACTTATCAGACATATCGCATATCTAACAAAAAGATTTTATGACAAAATCATTGGATTGTTTGTTTATTTGTTTTTCTTTATTTCAACATGAACAATCCATTTAACTTTGTTTATTGTTGATCATATTGATAATTGATTAAAAGAATTTATTTTTGTTTATTTACATTCTTCATTGAAAGAGCATCGGTGAAATAACTAAAATCTATTTTATTATTTGATAAATAATTGAATTTTTCTTTTCCCCTACTAAATTTCGTTTTTTTGTATAAACATTAATTTTCTTTTGATTTCATTTTATATCTTTATGTGTTGTTGATAAATTGAACATAAAGAGAAAATTCTCTTTGCATATGTTGTACATGTAATTGAACTGTTCAATATCATTTTTAATGTATCTAATTTTTCTTCTTGTTATTGTTAGTAGTTGATTTTCTAATATTTAATGGGATTAGTAACCCCCAAATGTTCTGGTATGGCCGAGAGTGGGGTGGGCCCACCCTCCCTCTCAAAATGCTGCCACATGGCCAAGCGTATGCAGCCTCTGCCAGGGAAGTCCTACTCAATGCCTTCTCGTGGCGGGGGTGTTGTTTACGAAAATGAGAGGACGAAAAGCGAATGTCCAGCGCTTTAACCGGACTCCAAACCAATGGTGCACATGGGCTCCCGTATCCTAAAGGAACAAATGGCGTATGAACCAATCGTTGGTCAACAGCTGCCATGGGACTGCATCTCCTCACGATGCTCCACTGCCTTGTGGATCAGACATTTAGGTTAAAGGCTCCGGGTGTGGCCTCCTAAGAAAACCACCTGCTTCGGTCTGGGCACCCGGGCAGTATCCCAGCCCTCACACAAATCGAATGAGATCTGTGTGGCGCATATCTATTTGGTGCCTTCTTGTACCAATGTTTATGTGTTTAAATAAATAGATAAATAAATGGGATTAGTTAAGGTGGTGTCTTCAATCCTAAATGGATCCTGATCAAATAATCGATTGTTTTTTGTTTTGATTAATTTGATTTAATTCAGTATACGCGTACAATTTCATGTGCTCTGTGTTGATACATAATTTCGTTGTATGTATATATATACGAGTTTGTACTAAGTCTAGTGATACATGGAAGAGGTTTCGAATCTGTTATCTATTGATTAGAAAACTAATCTACCCAATAAGGCGCTACTTCGATTGTTTTTATTTACTTAATTATATTTTCTATCATTTACGACGGGTAATTGGTTATAGTGTAAATCCAGCCGCATTAATGTGTCGTTTTAATATCTACTAAAATGTAGATGTATTCATGTCCAGCAATTATTTTTTTTCAGCATACTGATAAATATCTTGAATGTTTTCACAATTTCGCCTCTTTATCTTCTGAGTATTATGCTATTCTTCATGATATCTTTACCACACACGGTAAACCAAAGTAAATAATCTTGGTAAAAGTAGTCTTAATTATTCAGTAATCGTATACGTGTATACATATTTTCACAATGTTTTTCTTATCATGTGAGGATCCAAAATTTTAGTTAACTTTCGAATATATGAAATGCCAGTTAGTAAATAAAAAAAGTCACCATTAAATTTCATATTCAATTACTTTATTGACCAATATGTACTAGGGGGACAAATCGTTGGTTTTCGATCTATGCTTGACCATTAAAATTGTTTGTTAGAATCTTAATGTTAGGCACTGAAATGTCGGAAAAGCTCTCTAAACTTACTTTATGTTGACTTACTATTGTGATGCTTTTCATGTTGTCTGGTCACTGCATGCGAAAGCTAGATTATAACACATCGTTTATAATTTACCTATAATTGTTGCATAACCAAAATGGAAGTTTTAAAATACAAGTCCACTTGCATTCATCATTTACAATTTATTTAAGCACCAAACAATAGAATACACCACACAAAATATAGATATATTTTGAGGACACGGGATTAAACTTGAAGAGATGAAAGCGAAAGATTAATAACTAAGTAGAATAATTAATAAGAGCAGTATTTAATGGGAGGGACAGTTCAGTTAAAAATACATATGGATACAACAATATTGATACTAGATGCATATGTGGTTTTGGAACGATTTTCTGTCAGAACGATCTACACTCTTATCAATGTTTTTCATATATATCATAGACATATAATCGAGACAAAAGTTACTGAAGAGTAATGGGATCAGACACAGTTTGACGTGCCTATTGGTATGAGGCATTGAAAACTGTTGTCGTGTGCAGGTGTTTCAAAGTGTTGACGACCTTTCCATGAACACCTGAGAGAGACAATTCCGAGATGGTTGTATTAGTAATCAAAGTTAATTTTAATATCCAGAAATACAATATTATCAATACTCAATGCGTATAGAAACGTTTGAGAGTCAAGTACCGTGTAAAGAAGTGATGAATGTCAACATTAACTGTACTAAGTAGGTGTTGCGAATTGCCGGTTAATTTTTATGGGATCTACAACCTGTATAAAATACCGAATTACTGTTTTAGGCTGAGTATAAGATTTTCGTTTTAGCGATTTTTTCATAATTTATGTAAAGACGTAATAACGGACACTATGTGTTAAATTGACCCTTAGTAATTAGAAACGAGTGAAAAAGGTTTTTGATTTGTATAAGGAAATTGTAATTTACTAACGCGTACTTATTTAAAAGATGAAGTAGTATATTACACTCGTCCAAACACATGTCGTTACAAGCAAATATAAAATAACTTGCTTTTATTTTGAAATATCTGATTTAATACTTGTAATTGATAGTGTTTTGGTAGCAAGTCTGTTAATCCTGATGTAAAGTGTTTGTCATCATAAAACTCCATTATATTTTCTAGAGCCATTTCATTTTTCAGGGTTGAATTAGTATTTGAAATTTATATAAACTTGAACCAATGTATTTTGTAACTGTACTTCTTTTACTAGTGAATGGGAATAACTAGGTTTATTCCATTTTGTTCGTTAACCTTACAGTATCTATACACATAGTTAGTTGGAAAACAGTCCCTGGACATGATTATATCTAAATTATACTTTCTACTTTAAGTTCTTTCACCCCTAGATCACTGAAGATAAATCCATGATTGATATTAATTGTTTCATTCACGAAAACAGATTATCAGCTAGTAAACTTATGAAAATCTGGAAGGATTAGGAAACTGTTTCATTCTAGTCTAAAACTTCTCAGCAGTAGCAATCTACGAATTTAGAATGTGGCTGAATTTAGGATCGACATATCTTACAACTTTCTAGTGCTTTTCGGTTTTCGATTTCATTCCACATGAAGTCGTATCATAATGGAACTCTTTAATTTGTTCAGAACTTTTACAGAAGTTAATGATTAGCTATTACATAGTTTTTCTTTATAACTTGAATTAGGAGGAAACATTCGTCAGTTAAGATGTTAATCACGAGGAGAGATTTCAAAATAAACAGGTTATTTTAAATAATTTAATAGTTGAATTCATAAGTTAATTGAAGCTAGACCTTCATGGAAAACCTAGAAGCACTATGAATTTCATTTCAATTTTATGATCATGATATTATTTACTGTAAGTTTAACCAACTTCACTTGATCATACATTATTTTGTCATCCATTTAAAAAGTGTTAACTGTTTTTACCTGGGAAAGAAAACTATTACACGAAACATAAATGTCTAATGTTACTTGACCTTATAGAGGCTGCTATATCTTTTCGTGTACTTGAATACTTAAAGCAACTAATTGATATCATTGTCAGTACATGTATTTAAACAAAAATTTGTTTTTTTTTTTATATCTGTTTTCTTCTTTATATCAAGTTTCAAAGGGATAGAATAGAATCAATGTTTATTTAGATGTAAATGTCAATGTATATTAGATGTGCCGTTTGAATAAATAACTCTAACTTGCTTGTATGTTTGTGGTACAGATTTAAGGATAAATCAAAAATATGACAGATTTTATTGGATGTTTAGGTAAAATTATATTGGATCTTCTTTATATTCATTGCGATTAGCTTAAGTGTATTGGTATCTTAGCATAATATTAAGTGGCTAATGAAATCAATGCTTAAGTTCTCTTTTTTACAGGGGAATTTTTCCAAGTAACCAGTCATTAGTAATAATGGCAATTATTAAGGAAGAAAAAAAATGACAGTTTTGTGAAGATGTTGTCATGCCATTAAAAGTGAACGCAATATTTGTCCAGTGCTGTCTGTTATTCACTGGTTATCTAAATGATATTGATCGGTTAAAAATTAGAATTGATTTTAACCGTTATTAGACATTAAACCAAAATATATATCAATATATATCATAGTCATTTAAGGTTGAATAGAAGATCACCCTCTGTATTCCATAGAATTACAATGACGTGTTCAAAACTCCGTGAAAATGTTCATTGGTTGTAAAACACCATGGTGTATATAATAAAGATGAATTTCATTTAAAGATGATATTCAATATTATTAAGGGATTAGTATGTACTAAGCATTGCTTCCGCAAGAGTTTATTTTCTATGAACTAATTTCGAATAAAAAATCATGTTCAAAGTGTTACCTAGTTAAAAATAATTCTTATCATTATACTGTAAACGGTATAGATCGATAAACACTAACGGAATTTACAATATAGTGTTATGTGTGATGTAAGTCTAAAACAATTCACTGTTGTGTTCTAAACATCAAAACATTGTTGCTTACGTGACCTAATTTACAAGAAGTTACAATTCCCAGAAGTTTTAAATTTCTGATTGTAAGTTGCTAAAAGTAATAGCATTAAAATGTTAATTTATGATACATACTTGCTTTAACACTTTTGCAATTTGAAATGATAAAGAACAACCAATATTTATTTGAACAGGATTTGTCATGTTGAGTTCTTTGAATACTATCTATAAAATGGATGATGGCCAGCAGTGGAATTTAGGACGCGTGTTCCTTCCTATTTAGGATTCGTTAGCTAGATGTACCTGGATCCCAGATACGATGTCCACTCCGGGATAAGCTAGTGGCTATCTGGACTCAGTAGCTAAGTGGAAAAAGCAATGGCGTTTGAAACGTATGATACTAAGTTCGAGTCCCTGGGTGAAAACCAACCCTGGGATGCAGGTACATCCGGCTGATAAGTCCCAAATAGAACGAAATACGCGTCCTGGATTTCACTGCTAGCCATCATCCATCTGTGCTTATAATGATTGTGGCTTAAGGCGATATCGAGGCGATCCGCAGAAGATGCATACATACTATATATGAGACTAACCAATTACGATCCTGGGAAGATTCAAACAACCAATACAAAAATGAATGTCTTTAAAATGTTTTTCAAAATTTCACCAATCCATATTTCATTCGTTTTAAGTTTAAATAATTGGGACGGAGGATGGTTATACCATAGGTTGTTTATATTAAACTTTCT